GATGGGTATCTTGGTTGTTTCCAAGATTTGGCTATCACAAATTGTGCTGCTATAAACATAGGTACACATATATCACTATGATATGATGTTTTCAGATCCTCTGGGAAAATTCCCAGTAGGGGAATAGCTGGTTTAAATGGGATTTCCAGTCTTAGTTTTTTAAGACTCCATACTGATTTCTGTAACAGTTGCACCAGTCTACATTCCCACTAGCAGTGGAGAAGGGTTCCATTTTCCCCACAGCCTCGCCACCATTTGTTGTTGGTTGATTTCTTTATGATAGCCATTCTTTCTGGGCTGAGATGATATCTCAATGTTGTTTTAATTTGCATTTCATGGATGGCTAGTTATGTGGAGCTTTTTTTCATATATTTATTCGCTTCTTTAATTTCATCCTCTGAGAAGTGTGTGTTCCATCTCAAATGCCCATTTCTGGACTGGGTCTTTAAATTTTGGGGCCCTAGTGTTTTTTAGTTCTTTATAAATTCTAGAGAGCAGACCTTGTCTGTGTACTTATTTATCAAGTTTTTTTCCAAATTTGTGGGTTGTCTTTGCACTTTATTGGTAATTTCTTTTGACGTGCAAAAACTTCTCAATAAGAGGAGGTCCCAGTTGTTCATTCTTTCAAGTGTTTCCCATGTGATTTGATTTTGTTCATGAACTCTGCCTACCCCTATGTCTTCAAGAGTTCTCCTACTTTCTCTTTCAGGAGATTTAGTATTTCTCTTTTAATGTTTAGATCTTTAATTCATTTTGACTTCAGCTTAGTGCATGGTGATAGACCAGGGTCAAGTTTTAGTTTTTGGCATGTAGAGAGCCAGTTTTTCCAGCACCATTTGTTAAAGAGGCTATCTTTCTTCCAGTGAGTGGTCCCTTTGTCAAAGATAAGATGGCTGAGTGTGTTTGTAGAGGCTTCACCATCTTCTAATCTATTCCATTGATCCTCAGGTCTTTTTCTTTGCCAGTACCATGCTGATTTTATCACAGTAGCCTTGTAGTATAATTTCAAGTCAGGAATTGTAATGCCTCCTGCCTTGTCTTTGCTGGCCAGAATTGCCTTTTCTATTCTAGGTCTTTTGTGGTTCCAAATAAATTTTAGGAACAATTTCTCTAGGTCTGGGATGTATGTTGGTTATAGTTTGATAGGGATTG